TATATGTTAAAAATGTTAGTGGATAACATTTTATCACAGATGGCTCACATTTAATTTTTTTTTACTATTAAGAAATAAAATATCCCAGATTTTAAATCAACTAAGAACAAGTTAATATGAGACATAAAAAGAAACACATGTGACTCTCTCACATTAATTTTTGTGTGTGGCATAATGTAATGTTTAAATTCATCTTTTTGCATGTCAAGTCCACCTTATTTCATACAAAAGTGTCTTTTTATTATCACTCATTTATCAATAAATGTGTGAACAAAAAACTAAAAAACTACATAAAAAGCACAGGAGTAAACCTTCACAACACTGGGTTAGACACAGATTTCTTAGATAGGACATCAAAAACAAGCAGTGAAAGAAAAATATTAATAAATAGGACTTTAGCAACATTAAACACTCTTGCACTTCAAAAGCCATCATTAAGGAAAAAATTCAAGTCAGAGGTCTAGAGAAAAACATTTTAAAATCACAAATCTGATAGAAGACTTAAATCCAGAATACCAGAAAAAAACAGACCAAAACCCAAAAAACTCCTTCAGTTTATTAACAAGGCAAATGATCCAGTTTAAAAATTGGGCAAAATATCTGAATAGCCATTTCACCAAAAAAGGTATAGGAATGGCCAATCAGCATGCCAAATGGTGGTCACTGTGATGGGTTACTTGGCATATGAATAGCAAGACTACGATGAGCTGGCCCACGTGTGAGCATGGCTTTATCAGAACTCGAGGGACAGAGCCAGACAGAGAGCTAGTCAGTGATGATGTGAGGGGGTTGAGGGAGAACTAGAACCGGAATGCAGTCCTGGTGGGAATGTAAAAATGTACAGCTACTCTGGAAGATAGTTTGGCTGTTCTTTTCAAATGTGAAACATAAACACACCACACAATATAGCAATTCTACTCCTAGATACCTTGAGAACTGAAAACATTTTCATACAAAAACTTGAATATCAGCATTCCTAGTAACATTATTCATAAAAGCAAAGTGGCCACAATCCACCTGTCCATGGACAATGAGCATGGAAACGGGGCGCTGGCCATTGTGCTGAAACAACCGCCATTCCACTTGCTTTTATCTAAGTACAGTATTTCTAAACAATCCTCTTAAAAATTCCAAATAGCTCTATGCTTGGACCATGCTTGAGTTTTAAACATTAATTAGTCCAATTGTATAAATCTGTAGCCACTTAAAATGTTCATAACAAGTTTTCCCACAGTGAAAATGATTTCTTTAATGGGAACCCTGTACATAATCCATTTCTAACTCTAATTAGATTTATCTGAGGAAAACACCATTGGCTAAGTAATATAACTAATACTAGTTAAACAAAATGTTAATATGCTCTAAGTGGTATTATTCTGCTCCATCTAAAAGGCATAATAACCAAATGGAAGTCTGTAATTTTGTAGTTAATTCACAAAGTCTGCATTTTGTTCTATTTATAAACAAGCATTTTGTTCAGTGAGATAAAAGCATGATCTTAAAATTTGTAGTATCCACTTGTACTAGTGCAAATGCTACAGCATAAGAATTACATCTTTATGTTGCCTGGATATACAAATAAAAATCATTATTTTCACAACTGAGGTAATGAGTCTTGAGTATTACGCAGATTACACATAAAGTCAGCTCTCATTTCTGAGTTATAATTTAATGTAATTATTGTATCTACTGTTAATGTGTGACACACAGCATCTTAGAGCTAAACACTGTATTTTAATCTAAAAGCAGGAGCTGTAACATCCTGAAATGTGCTTCATGAATCAAAGCCATTATGTGTTCACTGAGGGCTTGGATTAGCTGTTCCTGGCTCTAGATCTGTTACAATTTTCTGGAGGTCAAGGAAGACAGGAAAGCTTTTAAGGACAAAAATACTCCAGGAAAAATCACTGTGGAAGAATTTCTTTTCATTCCTAAGTGGAATACTGAAAGGATGGCTGGTGCCGCCTTGGCGCGTAATGAGATGTTAATGGAGCTGCGCACGCTCACTTGCGGCAGCATGGCACGGCCCTCTCCAGAGAAGCCACCAACTTTCTAGTTATTCGTAGAAGCCAGAAATGAGAAACCCAAAAGCCACAGGAGGCCTTTCATGGGTTCAATAAAGGAGGAAGGGGTTTGGAATAAGCTCATGGCGCTGAGCTCAGCAGAGAGCTGTGGAAACTCCACAGTGAACACCGGTCTCAAAAGCACCATGGTCATATGCAGAAGATAAACTGAAATTCTTCCTTTTCATTCTATGGATTTTTTTTCTTTTTCTTTTTTTTTGGTACCAGGAATCGAACTCATGACCTTGTGCTTGCTAGGCAGACACTGCGCCGCTAAGCTATATCCCCGGCCCAATTCTATGGATTTTAAAATCAAAACTCTACTTCCTGTTTGTGTTTTGTTTGTTTGTTTTTTAACCATAGACTAATCATTACGTAGTGATGCTGCGAATGAGCTTCATGAAACATTCACCAGGCACTCACTCTGTGACAGGCACTGTGAGGAAAGGACAGAGGTCAACAACATACCTCTAGTCACCACACTGCAGCACAAAAGGCGGGACCAGAAAGATGCACTTGTGCTTGCACAATGCAGAGTGGAGAGCCGAGGGAGGAATCAGGGAAAACAGTAGGAAGAAAATGCTTTGAGGAAAAGGATGAGACTTTGAGAACAAAACAAGAAGGACAGTGGAGGTGGAGCAAGGGCTATGATTACATACAATACCAAGGGTGCAAAAGAGCCTGCCCCCAAAGGCAGGGACACATTCACTCACCATGACGGAACACAGTGGACATCTGAAAGGCAGTCCAAGAGCCAGGGCTAGAGACACTCAGAGCAGGACGGACCAGGACACGGGGGACTAGAGGCTCAAAGGACCCAAGTCTTGGGTTAAGACCTCACAGAAAGGGGGTCTTCAAGCAAATAAGGGCGGGACAGTGGGAAAAAAGGAGGCAGACTGTGGAGATGGAAGGAGATCTAGGAGGAAAGGAAAGAGAAAGGAGGAAGGGGAGCCAGGAGTAACATGACCAAGATGCGGTGAGTGTTCCTCCCAGTTCCCTTAACTGAATGCAGTTAGGAGTCCTCAACATGTACTAACAGAACAACTTTTCCAAAAGAGAGCAGGCCTCCAGCTGGACCTTAGAGAGAACTCCTCCTACAGGCCCACTAAGCATTGACTGTGGCCCCTGGCTACCTACCACAAGAATTCTCAACCCCACAGAGCAAACATCACAGACGGCAATGTGTTTCCATGTGCACTGGTTCAAACCAAATAACTGCCAATCAGTACTGTTATCAGTTAAAATGTATGTAAGGATGAAGTGTAGCACACCCCAGGGGCTCCTGGAAACTTACAGTGTGTAAGTACTAATGAGCCTGTGAAAACAGATGTAGCCAATTTATAAGAAAAAGCAGGGTGCACCTGACTTCTCACCTCATTCACCTTCCAAAATAGATGCTAGTGAAATGAACAATATTTTACACTGTGGAGAAGATTACCACTTGATGGAACACTGTGGGAAAACAATCTATAAAGAGGATGGTCATCTCTTAATTTACCCAGCTACAACATCAGAAACTGGAATCCTTTCTCTGAAATAAAAAGGCCAATTCCATGTTGTGAGGGTCATGAAAAACTTAAACCCTTGGACCAAACACTGGCCAACAGAAGACAACTACAGGGGTATGTTCCTCCTCTTTTCTCTCCCACATGAACTACCATGAGACACATAACTTGAATTGGTTTCAGTAATTTGATCCATAAGAATCTCGACTAAGAAAAGACAAAGAGCAAAAGTTCTGATAGAAAATGAGCAATAAAACTGAACAGGTGCCTCACAAAAGAGGATCTCTCCTGAGATAATACCATTTCATATAATCAGAAAAGTGAGTATCAAAATTGTAACTAGATACCACTAAATGCTTAGGAGGATAGGTGAAAATTTAAAAACTAACAGTATTGAAGAACTGAATTGGCATACGTGATAATCCCATTGTCATGGTTGAGCTTGGTAGCATCAACCAATTGGTTTCCGGATTGCCCAGTGGTTGATGGAGGATATTTCTGGATGTGCCTGGGTAGGTCATGGAGCAGTGGTCTTGGAGGTCCATGTCTGGTCCCCAGCCCTGTCCTTTAGTGCTATCCCCTCCTTTGCTTTTGGCCACCATGAACTAAGAATCTTTGGTCCACCATGCCCTGCTGCCGTGATGTCTGTGCCTTGGAGCGAAATGACTAAATCTGCTAAAACCATGAGTCAAAGTAAACCTTTCCTCCCCTAAATAGTGGGTGTTGGATACTGCATGTTAGTAACAGGAAAGCTGGCTAATACATATACACTTCTATAAAACTGAAATCAATTAAAACAAAAACACTTCAGCATTATCTGCTTAGATTGGGCACATATATATCTAACAATGCATTCTCTCAGTGCCAGGCATATGTGTGTGCCCACACTTGCTAAAGACGTGTACAAAATGATTATTTTTTGGAGGTAAAATAGAAAACCTCAGTTAACCTCAATATTAATCAACATTAGAAAGGATAAACTGTAATATACACTCTAATAGCATGAATGAATCTCATAAGCATAATATTAAGTATTTTCAGTAAAAAAACAGTCAAAATTACACTATTGGTAGAGTGGGGTAGGTATTAAATTATGTAGAACACAAATAAAAACCAAAGGGATTGGTTATCTACGTCAGTCAGGCCAGCGGTGATCTCTGCAAGGGGACAGAGGGTGAGATGTTCCAAGGGAAGAGGCCGTGGGTGCAGGGAAGGCTGCTCACAGGCTACTGCTTTACCTATGTGGTGATTTCATGGATTTAGGGGTGTGAAAATTTGCTGAGCTGGACAGTCCTGTTTTGTGGACCTTTCTATATGATGTTATGCTATACACACACCATGCCCCGCTCATGCCCGAGAGGTCAGGTGATTAGGATCCATCTTACCCACACAGGGCCATCCCCCAAAGCCTCCTACCTTCCCTTCAGCTCACCTCACGTGGGGCCCGGCCAACCAACGGTGAGACACCAATGCCCTCTCCTCCTTCTGCCTGGATTTGGGAATTCACTCTTTGGTAAAGAATCTGAAATGGGAACAGGTTAGGTCACAAAAGAGCTGCATTTTTAAATCTGCTCTCATCACAGCATAAGCTTGAAATTGAAAAGTACTGTCTCCTTTTGAGGGAAAAAACTCCTGTTTCATAGAGCACAGTATTTGACACCACGCTTCCCTCAGGACTTTACAAACAGTTTCTCAAGGAAGCAAGAGCTTCAGGAGTGGGAGTCTATGGTGAAAAACCTAACAGATGATGTAACAACTGCCTGAGATGAAAACGTGAACTGCACACGCTGCTCAGACTGTTAGGTGCTCCTCAACGAGCCCTGTCCTCTCCAGGGCAGATCTGGGCTGTGCATTTTAGGAAATTCAGCACCTCCAGCCAAAGCCCAGGCCACTGCCAGTGTCCAAGGGATGCCAAGGAGGGTGCCAGCACTTCTTCACCATAACCATTTCCCACATAAATATCTTCTTGACAATGCTAACTCTCCCCTTAAACTCAACAATTTATTTCCTAATTTTCTTCCAATTTGTCTCGAGCCTCTCTGTGCCATTTCTGTTTTATATTCTTGAATCCTTTCTCGCATGACAACCTGTTTTTGTTCTGTACATTAGAATTCTCATATTACCAAAAATCCAGAAAGCCCACACCCCTGGGTCCCATGTGGCCAACAAAGCACCATCCCCAGGCCAGGTCCCCTGCTTCCCCTGGGCCACTCACTTCAGCCTCCAGAGAATTTCTGGCTGCCAGGAGCAGCTCAATGCTGCCTGGTGGGCAATGGGTCAGCGCGAAAGCCAGGAGCTCTTGTCGAGTGGCCAAGTCCTGGTACCCTTCTGATTGTCCCAGCTGACTACAGACATCCCAGCTTTGAGGGTAACCTGCAAAACCAGCAACAACAGCAAAAACATGACTTCCAGTAGCAAAATAACATCCACTATAAGATAGGGCACACAATGGACTCCTGCTCAGGTCTTGTGGTACAAAGCAAGACACCATTGTTATTAGGGATATGCAAAGCAGAAATGTGTAAGAATCTAAACAAAGGAAGACGAGGCCAAGTTCTCATTCATAACATTCAGGACTACTCCAGATGTGCTACTGACTGACTCCCCAAGTTTAGGTGTGCTGACAAGGAGCACAAGTAACCCACTGAGCTCTTGCTCAGTACAAAGGTGCCTATCTGAATTCCAAAGCCATCCAGCTACTCAGCACTCATGTGCTCTTGAGAAAACTCCAGGAACCACAGCTCCTCTGCCACTGCAGAGGGACAACAATAAGCCCTTCTCTCTGGGTCCCTATAAGGACAAAGTAACATTTGTATTTAAAGCCACATCAGAAGGTACACAGTGCTAAAGTGACATCAAGACAGATACATGGTCCTTCAGCCTCCAGAGAATTTCTGCTGCCAGGAGCAGCTCGATGCTGCCAGGAGCAGCAGTCCTAGGTTTAATCCTCAGCTCCAAAGAACAACAGTGGACATGCACACAGGACCATTCACTTCATAGAAAAAGGCAGTCCACCTGAGGACAGGGACAAAGGGAGCCGCCTGACTCCTGGCAGAGGTCCTTTTGCACCATGTTACAGTATGAACACTTCAAATACCCTTCTTTCTTATTTGAAGGAGTTCTGGCTTAAAAGCAGCTCTTCCTTCTAAGGATAAAGGGCTCAATCCAGAATAATTTCCCCAACTATACGAGGTAAAATTTAATTCAGACACTACCCTGATAGGCATAGGCTAGTACTGAAAAGCTCTCTGGAAAAACAATTTGGATTAATACGACAGTGTCTATACGGAAACCATGATTCCAAACTTTACATGACAAAATCGCTTTACTGGTACTAAAGAATGTAGCTCTTCTACGAATCAGTGCTTAGTGCCCAGGTGAGACGTGCTGTCTAGAGCTTTTCCAGGTTGAAATGTTTGTAATGACTGCTACAGATCCTCTCCTTGACCAAACCTTGGCTGGGCTGCTTAGCTCCTCTCTGCTAGGCCTCGCTCTCCACCCTCACCACTGCAAGGGCCTCACACCTCAGTGTCACCCAGCCTGGTGCCAAGCCAGCGGATCACAGTGCCCACATCCTCCAGATCCAATCACCCAGGCCTGCCTTCAGCATGCACCCCATTAAGGCCGTGAGCCAGAGCGCCTCACTCCTGACTTCTCTCCTTGGTGCTTTCCTCCCATGATCCCCGGGATCTGCTCCTGGCTGCCATGCCCTCCTGTCCCTGTCGCATTACGGGCTGAGCCCATTAAACCGGTATCTGCAGCAGGACTTTGAAGCCTGAGAGAAAACAAGCAGGCAGCTGCAAATGTGGTGCTAAGCCCAGACAGGAAATTGGGCTTTTGGTGAAGCGAGCAAGATGCTGCATTCCTTGAGATAAGAAAGCAGGGCACATGGGCAAACTGGATGAGACTGGTGCCAGCCAAGATGGTCTGACCCAGAGCTGACCTAAACTCCGAAATCTTCCCTGCTCAAAACTACAGAGACCCTCGCTTCCTCCCTCTGCGCAGCGACTCGCTTGCCCTGACCAGGCTCTCTGTCCTCTCCTGGCTGCAGCCTGTGGAGCAGCCAAGTGGCATTTCTTTCCAACAGCAAACTTTTATTTTACCCTTGGAATTGACCCACGCCCGACCTCCACTTTATGAGCACCTGAGAATTTAGTCTAGCTGGGGCACTACAGCAAATCTCAACAGATATCACAACAGTCCTCGAGGGAGCCTTCCTCACTGATACTTCAAGCATCAGCAGGGCTTTTCACTAAGAGTCCACATACAGACAGGCACAGGCCAGGCTAGGGCACACAGCGTAACAGGACAACCTGTGCCCAGCCTGCACAAGGTCCTAGGTTTAATCCTCAGCTCCAAAGAACAACAGTGGACATGCACAGATCATTGCCACACAGCCGCATGACTTCACAACACAAAGGACTGTGTTTCAAGTACTCACTCAGGTACAGAGTACTCAGGGACAGGGAGAAGAGCAGCTCACTTAGGGCAGAGCCCATGAGAACACCTACTCCCTGTCCTACCCTGAAGCAAGTTCTCCAGATGAGACAAAACTCCACCCAATCTCCCTGCCCTCCAGGGATAGGAATTTGAATTGTAATAGAGAAAATTTGAAGGATGCAAACTACTCCCCAACTTTGCAACATTACCTTGAAAAGCAATGGGTTTTTGTTCAAATTAAAGAATAGGAATATTAACTATGGAGTCATGTACTCTAGACACTTAACAAAATCTTATTTTGGGGGGCTGGGGATTTAGCTCAGCAGCACAGCGCCTGCCTGGCAAGCGCAAGGTCGTGAGTTCAATTCCTGGTACTGAAAACAAACAAACAAAATCTTATTTTTGATATATATAGCAAACACATAAAATAGTATTAGAATATTTACATGAAATTCTTACAATTATGAGCATACTTTCAATACAGAATCAAAAGTAACCAAAATTTCAGATAAACAGAATGGGTAGGCCCATTACAATATTAATAGATAAGCACCCCACAAATATATTTGTCACTGCCGATAAAATGTGTCTCCAGCAGAACTGGGGCTGGCCTTCCCACCAGGCCAGCTGCTTTCAGAGCCCATCTTCCTCTGACTCATCATGCACGCAGGATATTGCAAGGGGGCTGTGCAAGTGCCACTCACCTGTGGCCATCAGCTCCTGACAGTGTAGGTTGGCTGCCTTGTAGTCATGGAAACGGAGGGCCTGCTCAGCCAACAGGACCAGAACCTGCCCACGCCTTTCTTCAGGGTCCTCACCTGCAAGCACAGGCAAATGCTTAATGACTGTGGCATCAGCAATGATGTAAGAGCTCAGGAGCAGTGACTTTCAAAATGAAAGCATAAAACACATGGGACAGACTGATTTTAAAGGTTCAGCAGGCAAGAGGATAACAGCAACTCTGATTTTTCAATCTACCTACTGTCCATGGGAGGACCCTCCACTCTGAAAAGTTCCTAATTAAACTACACAAATGCAAAAGGCCAAAACCAGAGCAGTCTACAGCCAACTGAGAGGTCTTGATATTACTAAGGTAAGGGAAAAAGAATAAACCTGATTTAAAAGGAAAGTTTAAAAAAAAATTTAAAAAAGGAAAGTTTTCCTTTCCATAAAAAAAGGCTCATAGATGAAATGAGTGGATGAAGGTCATACACAATTCAACAGTTCTCATCTTAAAGATCCAACTGGTACTTAGAAGCTGGGAGATAAGTGTGGGCCAGAGTGCTGAGAAAGACCACCTCCTTGAACAGATAGTAGGTGGGCCTGCCAAGCATCAGGTGCCAACCCCAGGGTCCTCCATGCCACCTTCACCCTGGCAGCTAAGCCCAACTGCACCTCATGACATCAGTTTGTCCAGGGAACATGAACCCCTGCCCAAAGGATGCTTTTCTGAGCCCTGATGCTCAGTGAGGTCGGTATCAGGAATGACAGACACCAGTCCTGCAGCACAGCATTCAAAAGCCTTACCTGCAACCCTCAGCAACTCAGCAAGACTGAGGAGCTTGACAGACTGTTTGTAGCACGTGGGGGACTGCGAAATACATTCCTTTATGAGGCTGAGCCGGTCAGCACGCAACCGCACTACAAAAGAAAGACACAGTAGAGACTTGTAACTGGGGCAGAATGTTTATCCCAAGGTAAGACCACCAAACATAATGAAAATCATCTCTAGATCAACGGAAACTAAGGGAATATGCATTAAAGAAGCAATACGGCCGGGGATACAGCTCAGCCACACAGCACCTGCCTGGCAAATGTAAGGTCCTGAGTCTTATTCCCAGTACCAAAAAAAAAAAAAAAAGAAAAGGAAACAAACAATAAAATTAGTATTGCCTCTGAATAAGTAATGTGCAAAGTGGATATTTTTTATATAACCAAACTTCTAAAACACAGCCAATGAATTATCATTCCAAAGGTATAAAAATGTGTCATCTTTTCGAGCATCGAGTTAGGAGCCTACTTTAAAGAAGGCTATATTTCATATCCTTCCTGTACTACCAGTCTTCTACCCTAACCTCATCCCTCAAAACTCAATCCATGTTCCACACACCCCTTTTCTACCTCTGCGGCACGACTATTTTGGTGGGTGGGGTCATGATAGCACCCTCTGTCCCAATTCAATAACCTTTCTCTGAAGGTTAAACCCATTCCTCTGGCTTAAACTAGGTATTAGGGAAATGGAACACATTTCACCCAGCAAATTCATATTATGAGAAAACGAATGGCACAAAGTAAAGAAAAACTCTTCAGCTAAAGGGCATCAAATACGTTCTGGAATACACAGTGCTTACTAAGTATAACCAAAAGCTACGGTCACTGCTTACATTTAAAACAACAAAAAAAAAGTATGCCTTCAAGGACACACTGCCATGAATACCCTCAAAGTCCTCCCCTTCACTTCGAGCATATTCACCCCATCATCCTTGCCACTTTCTGCAGCAGCTCTGGAGTCCTCTTTCCTGAGGACTCCTCTTTCCTCTTTCGCTGCACCATCCTGGCTGCCTTGACGTCCTGGATGGGTTTAAAACATCTCCCTTTCCTGGTCATTGTGACTTTGGAGAAGAGCCAGAAGTCACACAGTGCCAGATCCAGTGACTAAGGCGGATGAGGACACAGCGTCATGTTTTTATGAGCTGCCTTTCTACTGGTTGGCACTTGCCAGCAGCAGTCACCAAATTTTTTAACTGACCTGGTAAAGACACTCAGGAAAGAGGACTCTAGAACTGCTGCAGAAAGCAGCAAGAACAATGGGATGAGTGTGTTTAAACTGACGGGGCGATTCTGAGGGGGGTGAGTGGCAATGTGTCTTTCACTGCATAAGCCAGTTACAAAGGCCACTAAAGCTTCGAGTTTTTCACTGTAGCACAATCTCACACACACAACCATACACACACACACACACACACAAAGCACACTCCAAGCTTTTCCATAACTTACTTAAAAAATCATGGGTGTTTTCCTCAACATCGGCTACTGATTTGTGGATTTTTTTCAGGTTCAGTAACACAGGATGACCATGTGACAGGTACGTTGTCTGCCTAGTGTGACGCTCATGGTTACACCTGCCATGGATGTTATCACCCCTCATACCCAAAGCCGGGAGTTTTCATAGCCTTGGGACTGATCACCGAATCCCGCTAAAGGGCACACTAGCTTCAATAACTCAGCTTGGCAGCTTCTTCACTAGCTGTGCTCTCTGTCTAGCTTGCTACATCAAACCAGAAAACTGAAACCCACACAGCCTGGTGCTCTGTCTCCTGGGGTCTTGGGCAGTGCAAGCCACTAATACTCAAGTACATGAAGTGAATTTGGAGAATAGGATTCTAACATACACACACACTGTGTACACTGTGGACCTGTGTAACCCTGGGCAAGAGACCTGAGCTTCTGTGGCCTAGATTTTATCACCCTAAAACCAAAAAACACACATAACTACCTCGTGGGGTATTTTCAAGAATTAATGAATACGTGTGACGTATACTTAGAACATAAATTCGCTCACTAAACGCTAATTATTATTACTGCTGCTGAGCATACACAGACATGCTGACAGAGTCTGGGGTCTGTTAGGGGAAGCTGTCTCAGTGTGTCAGGGATGTGTCACACTGTCCAGGGAACACTGTCTTCATCCTCAACCAAAGACAGGGCTGCCATTGTCCACACAGCCCAGGTGGTGGAAGGAGACTTTAACCACTGGTGTAACTTTCTTCTCCTCAGTGTGTCATTAATAAATTACCCTTCATTAAACTGAAGGAAAGAGCATTGGAAAAAAGGGGAATGGACATGTTGGGTGGAAGTACGGAGAAGAATGAGAGGGGAAGGAGAAAACAAACGAACAGCAAGGGTGGAGGGAGAATGAGAAGGCAGCTCAGGGCACACCGATTCCACAGTCATGCTCCGAAGACATATCCAATGCGGCAACACAGATGACAGCACGACCCAGGCCTGCGAATGCACAGCCCAGCTCCCACAAGCGATTCACACTGCTCGTCTTAGTATCTCCACTTGGTAAATGAGAAAAACACAGGGTGGTTCCGTCTTGCCCAGCTACCGAGGAAAAGTGGCAGAATATAGAAAGAACATGGAATAACTGAAATAGTCAAAAACCACTCACTGAGCACTAAGTCTGACACAAACGACAGCACCCACATTACAGGAAAAAGCACACACATGTGCACACACTAAGCAAATGCTTCCCAGGAGACGTACACAGAGGGGATCTTCTTACATGCTGCTTGTCTCCTGTCTTCTACTAATTCCTTAATGATAGCTTACTTCATACCACTCATCTTCATCTGACGTGATATAGCAACTCTCAAGTGTAGGCAAAGAAGGCGCCAAGACGAGGCACTGTGACAACATGACTTGACTGCAACAGTGAAGGACCTGGACTACGAACGTGCATGCATCAAGCGACCCCGCCACATGCCGGTGAAGACAGGTGCAGCTGACCTAAACTGCACCCACGGCTCGCACAGCAAACCGAGCATACACCATCACTCTGAACTAGGGCTTCAAGGCAACAGGCCAAGCTAGACAGCTGCCAAGACATCAAGCCCTGGCTTTCCAGAAACTACCTCACTCAGGAACTTCCTCAGAGCTCCTGCTGGGCCCCAGGAGCTCGCCACATTCTGGGTCTGCAGCTGATCTGCAGACATTACTGGCAAAAATGTTAAGTGAGAACCACAGAAAATCAGTTTTAAAAGTCAGCAGCATATGAGAAACTACAAGAAGAAATTTCTATCTTAAATTACTCTTTGTAAAAAACAATCACTCTTGGAACTATATAAGGTGTGACCAAAATGTATGGTGCAGGTTTAAAATTTTAAAACTTTCTCACAGTAAAGGACATCTTGTAATTAATTCTCCTCAAAATGTTTTTCCCTGCTTCCAACACACATATCCCACCATTCTTGCCATTTTCTGAAACAGTTCTGGAAGTCATCTTTTGTGAGCATCCTTCCAGGGTGTGATCAAAAATACAGTGAATGCTGCCGTTGAGTGCCAATGACTCAAACGGCAGTTCATAAATACATTACTGAAGATCTATGTCCCTGCTTCCTGCTGTCTGCCTCTTTATTCAGACTTTGGGCTTCTCCTATAAGAGAAGCTGCGTGATATTTAAGCATGTGTGTCTGATTTATTTCACTTAACATGGTCTCAAGGTACATCTACTTTCCCACAGATGACTCAATTCACCTTTCTTTATGGCAGAGCAGTATTTCATTGTGTGTAAACTTTTTCTTTGTCCATTCATCTGCTGACAGGCATATCGGCCACTTTCAAGATTTTGCTATTGTGAGTTGCAATGCTATAGCATGAGTATGCATAGATTGCTGTAATATCACGTCTAGAGATGGAGGGAGAAGGAGAGAAAGGAGAATAAAAAGAACTGATATATTATGTACATGTATCTACCCCTCAAACGAATGGAATCGCTAGGTACTACAAATATGGACTAATAAACATAGATAGATAAATACATGCATACATAGTGTTATGGTTTGTGTCTGGGTGTCCCCCACAAAGCCTCATGCAGTCATGGGCCCGGGCTTCTGGAGTTTGTAATTGATTCATGGTCTAATGCTGGTATTAAGGCTGTCAGTGCTACACTGGCCCTAAGGCATACAATATAAGGGACAGAAAGAGGCTAATGTGTCTCTATCTGCCTGTCTGCCTGTCTCTGTCTCTGTCTCTCTCTCCTTGCTTGTTGTTTTGCCTGCTTCTGCTGCCATGAACTGCTGCCCCTCTGCCATGCTGCCCTGCCTAAAAGCCAGCCAATTATGAACTGAAACCTCTACAAACTGTAAGCTAAGTAAACCTTTCCTCATTTAACTTTGGTTTTTTTTTTTTTTTTTTTTTTGGTTTTTTCTCCCGTACCGGGAACTGAACTCACGACCTTGCGCTTGCCAGGCAGGCGCTTTTGCCGCAGAGCTAAATCCCCAGCCCCTCCTCATTTAACTTTGGGTGCTGGGTACTTTGTCTCAGCAATGAGAAAAGTGACTAAGACACAAAGATAAAACATAACAACAGCAGCAACAACAAAAAATACACGGCACTGTGTCTCATCTACCTTATTTACTGGATCTGGCACTGTTTGACTTCTGGCCCTTCCTCAAAGTCACAATGACCATGACAGGGAGATGTTTTAAACCCACTCAGGACATTGAGGCAGCCAGGACAGTGTAATGACCCTTAAGAAAGAGGACTCCAGAGCTGATGCAAGGAGTGGAAGGGATGATCAGATGAGTGCATTCAAAGAAAGGGGAGGGTTTTGAGAAAGATTCTTGGCAATGTGTCTTTTACTGTAATAAAATTTTTAAAAATTTAAATATTTACCATATTTTTCAATCATGATGCATATAAAAAACTAAAATGCAGATACACGTACATACACACAAGGTCAAAGTTGTGATGATTTATTTTAATAAGAGATAAAGGAAGACCAAAAGTTACACTGGGCTCTATTCTTCTGTGACTAAAAAGTACAATGAAACAAATATTTGACAGGGAAGCTTAGAATAATTGAAAATGCTTTTCAGTAACTTCATGATTTTAATAAGACCTGAGGTCAAAAGCTATATGAATGATACAACTGAACAGAATTTTCCAGTGATTTAATAGTCACTTTATATATACTCGTTTAAGATGCTACAATAAGTTACTAACAATGGTATACTAAGCAGAAAACCCACCTTGCAAAGGCAGGATCTTTACCCCAAACTCTTCAAGACACCCGAGGGCCTGGATTAGGTCGAGCTCTTCTTGAATGGCAGCAGGCCTATCTGCTATCAGCTGTAAGCAGCACCTGCAGAAACAAGGTACCTGTTTAAAAGCAGCAGCAACAACACAAGAGTCAACACATATTTATCTGAACTTCACTATACCCCAGGTCCTCCTCCCACTTTTTCTTATCTCACCTAATTCTCAGGGCAAGCCCAGGCAAGCAGCAGCCTCAGTTTCTGTACAAAGTCAAACGGAAGCTCCAGGAAGCGGAGCAACTTGACTGGTTACAGACACTGCATGGCAGCGTCAGAACTCGGTGTAGTGCTCTTTTTACTGAGAGTGCAAAGGTGGTGACTACATTAGAAACCATTTCTTAAAAGAGACAGAATTCAAATCATTTTAGTTTCCTTTTCAGGAAAAACAGAATGTGGTGATTCTGTCTCAGTTTGCCCTCCAGAAGAAACAAAGCAACGGCATAAGAACTGCAGAGAGTGGAAAAGAAGAATCAGCACTGGGATAAACCTCAAGAGACAGAGGTTGGCTAAGTGAAGAACACGTGATGGCTACGCAGTACTTTAACCTATTTTTTTTAAACTCAGAGAAAATGTAGTGAACACAACTGTATTGATGAGCATATTCTCTCAAAAGCAGAGGAGCTCTGGATCGTGAGACTAGGAAGAAAGCACAAGGCAAGGGCTGGAGAACATGGAGGTCAGAGTCACCGGAGGGAGACCCGCCGGCATGGAGAGGCTGGAGAGACACAGCCTGGAGGCTTCTGCAGAGCCGGGACAGTTCAATTGGTTCAGTATTCACGTCTATGCTGCTGACTCAAGTGTGGTTCGCATCAAGATTTCAAATGCACCTATCTCTGCCTAAGAGACAGACACAGCCCACACAGGCTCATACCCTCAGAAGCAAGTCCCTTCCACAGGAGAGGGTAAGCACAAGTCCTGGAGAGCACTTGCAGGAAAGGCGCTCAGGAGGAAGCTGCTCAAGACCCACAGCCACGGGCTCTCCCTGAAGTGATGCGGCAGGCAAGGAGCATGGTGCCCCGCTCCCCCGGGGGAACAGGTGCCCACCTGGCCAGGTCCATGCAACTGTCCATGAGGCTGGTGGAGGAGTTGAAGTACTCCCTGCTGGCAGTCAGGACCAAGTGCATGCTCTTCTCGTAGCCCAGCCGGTGCTGCAGCCTCCCCTTCTGGGCTGCGCTGGCCACAGGGTCTGCCGAGCCGGCCTGACAGTGCATCAGCTGCCCGGCCAGCTGGATGTTCTCCAGGCGACTGGAGCAGAGCAGGCTTTCGGTAAAGATCTGGAGAGAGAAAACTGGAATAAGGGGGTTGGAAGCCTCAGGTCTCAGCAGAACGAGGGCTCTGAAAGGCACCCACCCGAGCGCCAGGGTTCCTGCCACTGTGAGTATGCTCACTTTGTACTGTGTGCATTTTACCTCAATAAAGAAAGTCATGGTAGGAACACGACAGAATAATCTCATGGATAAACTAAAGCATATTATCTAAGGTATTAAATGAATACTTGAATCAAGTATCTGAAATTCACATTCAGCGAACACTGGTCTGTTACACATATCGTCTTACTTTCCACAAGGCCTATCTGCCAAAACTCTAAGAACTTGGTTCTTTAAAAGAAATCCTTCATCCTTCTGATCATATAGCTCACAACTGTGTAAAAGTATCTGAAACCAAACAGCTAAGCCACAGATCTTACATGTGCATCTGGTCACTGAAGCTGTGACATCCCTTGTAACAGTCAGCTTTCCCCATGGGATTACAGGCCTGTGCCACCATACCCCACTAAAATTAATTCTTCAATTGATAGTACTTACTCTCAAGAAAGTATTAAACAATGTGAACCTCCCAAGCTGACACTACTAGTGTCATAAAAAATTAGTACAAGAACTTCCCAAGAGTGCTTTCCCTGTTGCTCCACACGTCGATGAGGACAGCACAAAAATAGAAGAAATGAGCTGGGTGTGGTGGTGCACACCTGTAATCCCAGCACTCAGGAGGCTGAGGCAGGAGGATCATTGAGAGTTCAAGACCAGCCTGGGCTACAAAGTGAACTCAAGGCCAGCCTGAACTACATAGCAAGACCCTGTCTCAAAAAGACAAAAAAAAAAAAAAAAGAAGAAATGAAAACTAAAATTTCAGGGAAAAGCAAGCTTCCCTTTAATTAAGAAGACCATCCAATTCTCACAGGACTCCTTTATCATCACTTCTTTAGGAGTTCTAGACAAGCCTTTATTGAGCTACCTGGTAAGGATAAAAGCAATCATACAGTGTTTAAGAGACCCTCTGTGAAGTAGATACTGTAACAGAAAGCAAATTACCAATGAGCAACCTGAATCTCATCTATAACAGATGAAGGTGGCACATTCTGTAGGGGATGGTGACTCTTAGCATATCATTTTAAGATAGAATAATTCTAGTCTTAATGCAAGCCTCAAAATGTGTCTTGAGAAACATCCCAGAGGGGTTGTAAAGAGTTAACTTTGTAGTCCTGACTTAGCTCTGGAATGCTTCTCCAAAGACAAAGAACACCAGGGCCCAGATAACCACCTATGACCTTGCCTGGGTTATTTCATCCTTTTTCTGGCCCTAGATAAACATTGTAACCATAAAGGAAATGTATGGTTATCTAAAGGGGGACATAATAGAACAGAGTATGGAAAGTATATATCTTTGTGGTTGGGCTCATGACTGGAGCCTGACCCGGTTACATGGCACAACGAAAACAACGTGTAGCCAGGGCTACAACATTCTAATCAGTTACCATGGAAACCAAAAATGTATATAAGGTGGGAACAAAGGCAGGCCCACACTCACTTCCCTGATTGGCAAATTGGGAGGAAGGGTGGCTAGCCTCACATAATAAACTCTGTTTTGTTCTCAATAGAGTCGGTCTCTTGTGGAATACAACCCGAGTTTTGCTGTTACAATTCCAAGTCTAACTTGAGTGACCTACACAACAGCTCCTCTGCATAACTCTGCTTATTCAAGACAGCCATGAAGAGGCAAGACCAGTGTTCAGAAACAATCTACTAGCTCTTGCCAACATGAACAATATAGATTCTGTCCTAGGAGATGTAGCTCACATTTTCAGTTATGTCCCTGAGCTTATAAACTATTTTCCATGGACACAAAGCCAAAAGGTAGTAAGATAACACAACAGTTTAAAAGACCAGAGAAGGCTGCTTAGAACTCTATACTTAGCAAATCTATACCACTGTCTTCCACAATCTTTCCAAACTGTTTGGCTTTCAAACAATAGAGACATATAGACAGACATCATTAACACATCAACCCTAAAAATGGTTACTAAGATAATTTTTATGTAATATGTCCAGTGACTTAGAAAGACTACTGCACACAGGAGCTAGCTCAAGTGTAACACACCTATTGCCAATTTTTCAGTCAAAATCATGAATATAGTCAGAATCAAGAAAGTACCAAAATACTGCCATTCCAATGTAAAAAAAAAAAAAAAAAAAAAAAAGACTTCCACTGTAGGAGAGACAGCTAGGTGTAAGGGGGAGTTACTGGTGTTTGAATATGGTCTGAGACTAACCCTCACTATGAACAATACAATTATTCAAGCATTTAAAAACCTGATATCCAAATATAAACCATTCACTTCTCAACAGCCTCTACTATTGTTCTTTTGTTAAAATCACCTGTAATTTAAACATGAAACAATTTCACAAAATAGAGAACTACCTTCCTAACAATATAGTTTTGTGCATGGCTTCTCTGACAAGAAAATTCAAATAGTAAATCTCTTTTAGTTTGTATTTCATTAAAAATGAGTTAGGTGGATCATTTCCCTAGAGAAACTGTAAGTAATTTATTGGTAATACACAGCCTTACAAAATAATGAGTAGACTTCAGGACACAAAGGAACTGTCATGTGACCAGCATTTCTACAGTGCCCTTCAAATTCTCTTGTGTGTGTGCTGAGGCCTGCAGATGAACAGATAGACAGGACAGGACAGGATGACACCTTCCTAGAAGCTTGATGCCACGGGTCAAGAAGGAAGAACTACCTCCCACTAGGAAAGGCTAGGGAGACGCAAACTCCAGGAAAGGACAACGGTGGCCTGGGGGCATGAGGAGCTGCATTCTGAAAACTCTTCAGGACTCTCAAGTAGGAGAGGAGATAATGTAGGCTGAGTCTCAGGAACCAGGAGGATGCGGCAGTGGGGGTTGAGGCAGACAAATGGGCAAGGGGCATGGAGTGGTGAGGGTGTGGCAGCTCTGTCTGTGCTAAGCACAAAAGACCAGCACTTTCCTCTACTGACTTGGAACAAACAACCACTATAGGAAGGGCAGTGCATAAAACGTTTTGTCTTAGAGGAAAACACTGAGCATGAATGGGAAGCTACGTGACACAGGGAAGCAAACAGAGGAGTGGTGCAATTTAGCAGAGATGAAAAGAGAGAGGACAGATTTGGAAGACTATTCTAGGTGCAATAACTAAGCTGCTTGATGAGGGAGGTTCCTGTGACCACCAACAGTGTGGAAGGGAGAGGAGCCAGATCTACTCACTGAGGGTCACCCTATCACGCTGCTGCAATAAACGAAGTGGGGAGTCGGAGGGAGCACAGGGAAACGCTGCCCACACAGAGCTCAGCCCCAGCCCAGTTACCTCGTAGCAAGTCTCAGCATCCAGACAGAAGTACACGTCCCGCTGCATTGCCAGCATGTCCTGCAGCAACGCCCTCCAGTGCGACTCGCCCACGGGAGGCTGCCTGTGGAGAGAGGGTAGCTCAGGAAACCACTGGAGCCTCCTTCTCGCAGCGCAGTAGCCCCGGGCTCAGCGAGGACAGCTCACTTCTATTCCCAGGGAAAGTGTGGACTAAAAGGAGGAGAAGTGGGCCAGCTGTGTGTCAGAGCCAGCGCTGTGACCAAGCCAACCCGGCACTGGCCACCTGGACACAGCACCCAAAGAGCATCACTTGCTCAATGCGGCCAAATGAGCAGAGTGTCCAAGTTGAACACAGGACGGAGAGCACAGCGACCCTGCACAGTGGAGGCCCGGAAAGCACTCAGAGACGGCTCCTCCTGTGCCACCTCCACCTCGGGCAGGGCAAGGCACAGCAGGGTGCAGGAGCCTCTGACCTCAGCAGATCTTTCAGGACTTCACAGCCACAGGCTGCACTGCTTCCACCCGAAGAGCAGGAACCAGGGCTTGCCAGCAGGGCAACCGAAGAGCACTGGTCTCAGTCCCAGAGCGACTCACAGGGACTCCCAGCTTGACTCACAGAGCGTGCCCACAGCTACCTGCTTCCAGTGACAGTCCAGGAGCAGAGTAGCCCAAGACACCACCCCGTCCAGCTCAGGAGGAAGCTTAGTGTTCTGAAAGGCCCTGTCTCTTTCCCAGTTAGCGCACAGGCAGGGATTCCAAGGCCCCTTAGGGACACACCTGAGACCACACCCCAGCAAAGTGAACTCAGCATCACTCAAAGTTCATTCTCAGCCCCTCAGGTCACAGGGCAGTGAAGCCTTGGCCCTCCTAAAAGCTATTCCATGCTGCTCTGCACAGTTACAGTGCGGGGAATGTATGGTCAGACTACCCTGCAGCAGGGGAAAGGGTTTTGCTAACAGCCAGGCCTGGTGGCACACGCCTGTAATCCCAGGCCTCTAGAAGGCTGAGGTGGGAGAATGGCAAGTTCAAGCCCAGCCCAGACAACTTAGTGACTTGGTGCAATTCCATCTCAAAATAAAAAGGGTGGTGTAGATCAGTGTGCAGCCCCTGATTCAATCCCAAGTACTACAAGAAAGAAAGAAGAAAAGTTTTGCTAACAATTCATAGGCCAATGGTGTGACTGTAGAGCAAATCATTTACTATTCCTGAATTTCACATTCCTCACTCAAAGCCTACCCCAGGGACACCTCGGGAAGGGGTGAGGTTAATTCCGGTCAACACAGGCACTGCAGGAAGAGCCAAAAACTTGGCTCAATTACCTATGCAAGTTGCAATAAAACTTCTGAGTTTCAAATTCCCTTCTTCTGTGTTATGAGCAGTAACTTATTCCAGAATATATGAAGAGACCCACTTTTTCTGGGACAAATTAAGTACTTAAATATGTGAATGAGTCTGGGTGCAAACAGGCTGTGTACTTCCTGAGTTACACATGCAGTGACGCAGGCTGTCCAAGGGCGGCGCCACAGTGCTCCACTTCCGCCACCTCCCAGACAGCTCTTCACTTCCCTGCATGCCTCTGGAGGCTGAGGTGGTTATCTCCTGAGTCCTCTCTATCTCCCATGTACTCTCTATCTCCCATGTCCTCTCTATCTCCCACATTGTCCTGATTTCACAGAACCATGAATGTCACTCAGTGCTTGAAAGGAAGAGATTCTGTTTTGTGTTTGGCAATCACCAACTACATGGTGCTTCTTTTTCATGAATGTTTCCTTCTTTTGCCTTATGAAATGCCTTTAAAAACATTACTATTTCCAATTTCTATGCATTAAAAATAAAGTCATAGCCTGTGTTTCTATAATAGTTATTACTAAGGAAAAAGCATGTATTGGGGGTAATTCTTATGAAAACCAGAATTTTAAGGATTTTTCCTCCAAATTTTTCTTGTTTGTTTGTTGTTTGGATTTTGATACTAGGTCTTACTATGTTGCCCAGGCCAGCCTCAAACGCTCAGGCTGAAGGGGTCCTCCTGACTCAGTCTTCCAAGTAACTGGAACTACGAGCACACGCCATCATGCTCAGTTTCTCTTGAAGTTTTTAAAAGCATATACTTCATCTGCCTGCAGCATTTTATATTTATTAGACAAAATACACATTTACTCTTGTTCCATATGCACTGAGGCATAAGAGAAAATAATTTTTCAATATGCAAACATATAAAACAAACTCATGTATCTGCAAGTATCCCAGAATAACCCACAGAATGTTTCCATTAGTGTGACCCTGGTTCTTGAACTTTTTGAGGGGTCCCTTCAGACGGGGTACGGAGGCAGGGGAGTCACAGCAAGCTTGATGAAGCAGGTGTCCATTCCACAGCAGCCTGATCAAGTCAGAGCTGGGTACTGTGTTGCTGAATCTAAGTCTCTCTGCATAGCTACTCATCTGGAAGCCATCGACACGGGGACAGATGGTGGTAATGTGTTCGCACACATGGCTGGCCCTGAGTGGAGGTTTTAATTAAAATAAATTATAACACATTATTTATAATGGCCCTTTTCAGAACACACTCCTTAAATAAAAACCAGGAGCAGGATTTGGAGAAACTAAGCAAGGGGCTCATACTGCACAGAGAGATTCAGGAACACAGTGTCGGGCACAGCTTTGGAGGGGAACTCTTCCCAGGCAGAAGCAGTACTGTACGCATAATGGTGAAACCTAAATTTGTGAATGATTAGAATAAGCAGAAGACTCGAGCCTCAAAGGCCCAGCCACAGAACACACACAAAACAATTAGGATTCACTTCAAGCTGGCTGCTTCAAAGATGGGCCACACCGTCACCCGGTTCCATGGAAGGGACCCTGAGCACTGGGAATGAACTCGGGGTTAACAAGGAACAGAGTGGAAGCATGGAAGGGAGCCAGCAGCACCAGCAGGCTCTCCACTGGGGAGCAGTCACCACTGCTCGCAGAAATGCAAGCAGCACAGTGACTGTGGAGAAGCCTGAGATCATGCAGCCCTGCAAATCACTCCCATATACAAAGCATCGAGCAGCTGAGTGGATGTCATGTCAGAGCGTGCAAGGGCTATGACCTGCGCCGGAGCCATGGGGCAGGGCAGATGTAAGTTCCTGTGTTACTAACACAGCTGGGGGACTGGGCAGGTGCAGGAGAGAGGGACAGGGCGCTTGCAAATCCCAGGGAAAATTCAAACAGGCTTGACTACTGGCAGATGTGGAGCTCGCTCCTAAAGATAGGAGGGCCAGGGTCATGCTGTTTTATCAGTACTCAATTTTTCTTTTTCTGTTTTTTTTTTAAATGAGATTAAACTGTAATGCTAAATCCTAAAAACTAGACATAGAAAATATGTTTAGGTCAGATGTGGTGGCATACACCTGTAATCCCAGCACTCGGGAGGCTAAGGCAGGAGGATTGCTGTGAGTTCAAGGCCAGCCTGGGCTACAAAGTGAGTTGAAGGCCAGCCTGAACTGCATAGTAAGAGCCTGTCTCAAAAAGACCAAAAACAAGAAAAGAAAAAGAGAATATGTTTAAATTTTCTCTCACAGAGCTCTTGTTATTTCACCCTGTTGACCATGAACCTATGAATACACTGGCTTATTCACTAACCACTGCAGTAGCACCTACCTACCTTGAAATGCCCTTCAAACTGGTTGCCAGTTTTTCTACAGGATGATCTGTGAGCACCTCAGGGGCACTGTGAGGTGCTTCTGTGAGAAGCAACTTACTTAACTTGAAATCTCTCCAGCCTGAGAAACACTGTATGTCTTTCTTTCTCAGAAGCCTCAGGTCAAGCATGACACTAAGACAAAGCTGTGTGTCAAAATCCATGAGACATGCACACTGCACACTACAAAATATCAAAAAAACATGAAAGGCCCAGTCACTGGAAAGGTGTGCTGTGTGCACGGAATGGAAAACTGAATGATGATACAGGACAGAAACACTCCTGGAACTGCTCTACAGTAATCCCTACAAAATGGTGGATGGCAACACTTGACAGGCTGACCGTTATGGGAAGCCCTGCAACTAGCTAAACAACTATGAAAATGAGAAACAAAGTCAGGAATCTAATATTACCTAGTTTCAAGACTTGTAAGAAACCTACAATAACCAATACAGTATGCTATAGGGAGAAAGACAAATAAATTAATGGAGCAAATAAAAATTCAAAAGTAGGCTCTCACATCATATGGACAACTGATTTTCAATAAGGTGCAGAAACAATTCAGCAGTAAGAGGACAAGAAATGGTGTAAGAATATTCAGAGAGGAGAAAAAATTTTAACCCATATTTTGAGGAATGAACAAAAATAAACTCTCAAAGTGAATTAATCTAATTATAAGTATAAAACTAAAAATTTTGCTAGAAAAAGTAAACTTTGAGCCAAACATTTCTTAGATTAACAGAAACACTATTTTAAAAGAACAAACTAAAAAGAATTTGATTTTTTAAGTACAATTTCAAAAGACACAGGTCAGAGACAAGGAATAAATACAAGGAATAGCTACAAAGCACGTATATATAGCGAGGAACATGGGCAGTGATCATGTAAGAAAATTCACAACGCAGTAAGCACACAACCAGCTCACCCTTTTAGAATGGGCAAAGAGCACATGCAGATGTAGATTAGCTTAGGAAAGGAAACTTCCACATCATTAGAGAAATGCAATTAATGCTAAAAATGGACATCACTACATACCTATTAAAATTGCTACCCTTAAAAAACTAGCCACACCTGGGTGTGGATGAGGATGCAGACCCCTGGTTACATGGCTGGTTACGAAGGGAAATGGGACAAATACCTTGGAAAGCAGCAGGCTGGCTCTGTTGCTCTTCTTACTTAAGCACTACAGGCCCCTGCCACTCCACTTGCAGTGTTTATTCAAGAGAAATGCAAGCATGAGCCCATACAAAAACTTGTACACATAAAAGCCAAAGTCTAAAACAACCCAAATGTCCTTAAACACAGGTGAGTGGATAAACACAGTAAGATAAATCTGTATATTATTCAGCAAAAAGGATTAATAAGTTACTCATTCATGACAGGACATGGGTGAAAATAATTACCCATAGTATAAGAAGCCAAGCAAAGCAACAACATGCATTTGCACCAATCCAGTAGACATGAAGCAATGCATGAAGGGAAAGGGAAGAGACCAGTGGTGGCTTGCTGTGAGGTCAGGGGTGATGACAAGTAGGGGAAAAAGGTTATAAAGAAGCAACAGGGACATGGAGGGTGATGGGTATGCTCGGTACGCCTGTGTAGGACCATACACACACACATCAGAACTTATCAAACTGAACCCTTCAAATACGCGCAGCCAATCTCTCCCCAACTATAATTTACCCAAGTTGTCCAAGAAGAAACAAGCAACACAGAACCGTGACACACAAGCGCAGGTGTGTCTCTCATGAACTCACTTCCGGCCGGTGTGCCTGGCCAGCCTCACCATCAGCTTGCGTGCCTCTTCCACATCACACTGCGTGTCTTTAACAAAAGAAATCGGCTTCTCAAGTCCATGCTTTTCCAAAAGCTCCGACACACTGGAGGTAGAAGGGAAACTGGTAAAAAGCTTGCTGCCAAACAGAAATATTAAAAGAAGCTAAAGCATGTAAGTGCTACCTTGGTGTTTAGTATCTTTTAAGAAAGGTATCATATAATACAACACCATTTTATATATTTATTACATTAATCTTCACTAACAACAGAGCTCATAATTATATATCAAGTCTTATTTTTCCCTACTGGTTTTATTTTTAATTCTTAAAATTTTATTTTTTATTAGTACATGTCTGCTATAAATAACGACATTCATCAGAAGGAATTTGTAACTACACATAATACATCTTAATTCTTTTCCCCATTTTCCTCCCTGCTTTCAAACCTTTCTCCCTTCCCCACTTACAAAAATCTTTGTTTCCACTTTTTCTCTTTTCTTGTATACACCAGGACTAAATAGCGTATTTTTTAAAGGATGATGCATCTGCCTCAAGATATTCTTTTCATAAACTCCCTCTGTTCGCAAAGCACCTAGACAGTAAACTAAGTCAATGTACAATTTCAATACCCAGCTTCACCTCTTAACAATCCTATGTCGCCACGCAGACAAGGCTGCAGGGCTGGCAAGGAACAATGGAAAAGCAAGGAACAAAGAGTCTCAAAGGTGAAACGCCCAGCCGCCGCTCAGCTGGCTCGTCACTTCCAAGAGCACACATTATAAAAACGTGTGTTAGGAAAATCCCCGAGACCTCCCATCTCATCACCCCGAGATCTCACATCCTGGGCCGGCTCGCCAAAGCTCGCCACTTAGGAACTGCCCAGGATGGGGCTCAGAGTGAGCGATCAGATTCATAACTCACAGGTTTCACAAGTGAGGCCACTTGATGTAATGCGGAAGAAAACATGTACCAGCTGTGTGTGACTGTGAGGGGAAACATGAATAAAAGACCTTTTTTTTTCATTGTTGTTTTTTGTGACAGGGTCTCACTTTGTAGCCCAGGCTGTACTCTAACTTATGGTGATCCTCCTGCCTCAGCCTCCCCAGAGCTGGGATTACAGGTGTGCCCACCACACCTAGCTAAAGCTCCTATTTTAAAATGTCAGTGCATTATGCTGAGCAGTGACCACCTACTATGAGACATGACTGTCTCACTGAGACACACATGTAACCATCAGGGCCGGCCCTGGTCACACAGACGCAGTGATGTAAATCATGCCTGCACTTCCTGGGGTCTCACTGAGATCTCCAGGTCCCGCTAGGGGAAGAGGCGATTCGCAGATCTGTGTGCGATGACTCTGTGCTGCCTCGACCACTGTCAGGCTTGCAACACTCGTGCTGGCTGGAGCCAAGGGGAAGGGAAGAGGCAGCTCACAGGAAGAGCCTGAGTTCCCACACATCTTAAAGAAACATATGTGTCATTTCACAGCACAAAACAACGAGCACCAGGCCAGGAATAAACAGTAGTCCTGAGGAAACCGAACAGTTCATTCCCCACACTCATGCATTATGACACAGAAATACTCGGTTCCCTTAACTGCAACTTACAATGTTTCTACACCTTCCTTTGAGTGAAGAAACTTTCTCTGATTACTGGACTCTAAGTTGTACTGTACTATGTACATTACTGGTACTAAAGTGATGTTACATATGATTACCATAACCATACATATTTTAAAAGAGTTCATAATTTTAATTTTTTATTTATGATATTTAAAAATAATACACTTGTACACATAAAATAACTAAAGGAAACTATTAGATTTTCCTAAACAGCAAATAAGGGGTATTTCAGTCTCCCAGACAGCAAGCTCAAAGTTTCACTGTAACGGTGAAGAACATCACTACAGTTACAGGCAAGTACTGCACAATCTGAAACATCTAAATAGTTGATAAATATATTGCTCCCAAGAGAGTAGGAGTATCGGGGGCTGGGGATTTAGCTTAGTGGCACAGCGCCTGCGTGGCAAGCGCAAGGTCATGAGTTCGATTCCCGGTACTGGAAAAAAACAAAAAAAAACAAAACAAAAAACAACAAAAACAAAGAAAGTAGGAGTATGACAGACAGTGCCCTCTGCTAGTTGCAGCACCTGCTGCAGAAATTAATTTTTCCTGTGAAGGACTTCACTGCTGGCTCTAATTTAAACCTGTGACTCTCCTGTGTTAGCTGTCATGGCGAAGGAACCCTGGCTTCACAGGTAGCCCTGCCAGTAAGTGGTGAATGCAGACCTGAACAGAGGCTAGAAGCATCAAGCCCAAGCGCTTCTCGCTGCCCTCCACTGCGATGAGGTGAAGGACAGCCGCACAGACTGGGATCTGATGGAGCACAGGGCCATGGGGAAGACAGTGACAGCAAGAGCCCCGTAAGCCCCTTAGAGCTGCAACGTGGCCCCTGCCCTCACCTGAGAATCCGCTCTAGCTGGTCCACCATGTCATGAAGAGTTGAGGTTACTTGTGTCTTCTGACTACAGAATAAAGGAAGACAAAATTAAAATTAATTTTAATAAAACACAAAACTCCATTAAGTAAAAAAATTATGTTTCTCTGACGCTTCACGCACAACACTGCCACACTCCGTTGGGGAGGTGTCGGGCTCATCCAAGTTCACACAGCTGTTTCATGTGCGACATGAAGACGGACGGGCCTAGGCACAACATTCCCTGCTGCACATTAACAGACAGCACTGTTTTCTGAGATGCTCCAGTTGAGCTCTTTGAGGCAAAAAAGAATTCTAAATCAGCTTCTCTTTTAATCTTTTTAAGAAGCAGTAAAGGGCAAGCCCACTGTTTATCCCTGCTCTTCTGACCAGCAAAGCAGACAGGGATGAACAGCCCTGCTGCTGGCGCTCCCCTCGGCCTGGCTGCTCCCCAGCAAGCCCCCTGCAGTGCCCCTGGGCTCATGGACTCCAGCAAAGTACATCTCCTTCAACTGTGAGAAACCAGGGAGCAGCAGGACATTGGAGAGGTCACTGTTGCAAGGCTGCAATACGAGAAGCAAACCCCTCAGAGGATGCTGGGGACAGCAGACTAAACCAGCATCACGAAAGAGGCCACAGGTAGACAAGAACGTCCTTGGGGGCTGGTGTGGCCTGGACACAGCAGTGAACAGGGTCCTTGCACAAAGTGTAGCAACTGCAGGCAGCCTCTTCTGACTCTCACCATGGAACACTGCCACACATGACCCTGTGTGGCTTGAAAAGCACAGTCTAGCTGACTTCCCACAAGGCCTTGGGTCTGTTAATAAGAAGTCCAAGTAAAAATCCGCACCTAGACTTGGGCATTTGTTACTGTCCTAACGTAAGCACAGAGCCTCATTACTGTTAAAGTGATCAGTCTACCCTGGGCTGGTTCTAGAAGACACTACTGCGTGCAGCTCACACAGACCACACTGTCTTTTTAACAAGGTTTCAGACTGTGAACCACACGGGTAAGTAGGCAGAGTCTAAGAATGGCTTCAACAGGGCACTGTTGAAGTGCAAATCACCATTAACGACTCACTCAGCAGTCAGGTTTTTTAATAAATGATTATTTTGTAGATTCGTCATAGACACAAAAGAATACCGTGTACTTCCTTCATAGTAACTGCAATCACAAGTGCATGGCCAAGGATTTTTTCAGCCAGATGGGATATGCTGCCCAGGTACAATGTGCGGGAACTTAACTAGGGTATGTCAGTAACTGTCCTTCTGAAGGCTTCACTGCATTGACTTACGAACAAGAGCAGGCATCTCGCTGTTGGAGGAAGAGCTGTGCTCCCTCCACGCCACCGAGGAAGAGCCTACTGCCTGATGCAGCTTGTAGGTGATGCCGGGGAGGAGCCCCGCACACAGCCTCCTGTGGACAATGTGAGGCTTTTCCACTGAACGCAGTAACTCTGCTACAAAGCCACACTGGTGCACTCCCTTTTCCTGCCCCGCGCTGCCTACCTAAGGCCTCAGTTCTCGGAGTCTCACTGGCATGTGGCAGTGGCAGCCTAGATCAGTCACACCTGCACAGTAACAAAGAGATGCTGGGTCTGCCAGCGATCACCCTATGTCAGGACCCAAGCCAGACTGTGGGAGAGAGTACTTGGCACAATCACACACTCCATGCAGTTTTGCCTTTAAGGAGGCCCATGCCTTTCCCTTTCCTCTTTTAAAATTTAAAACGTGACAGGAGTAGAAATGGAGAAGGGAATGGATTTCCATAAAAGGAAGTTAATAGTAATCTAAAATTGAAAAATTAACAAGTATCAACATAAGTGTAATATTTTAAAGGAGGCAGGAAAAGATGAGAAATTATCAAAGTGTCTGCTTTTCTAAAGATAGGTCTTTAAGGATGGAGAAAATGGGCAAATACCTAGTAGCTGTGATAAATCTTATGGTTTCCTGACTTCAATTGTGTTCATGCACCCTATTTTAAAATTAAAGAGGGACTGCAAAGCCAGGCATGGTGGCTCATGCCTGTAACCCCAGCACTTAGGAGACTGAGGCAGGAGGACTGCTGTAAGTTCAAGGCCAATCTCGGCTACAAAGTGAGCTGCAGGCCAGGCTGAAGTGCACAGCGAAACCCTGCCTTAAAAAGACAGATAGACAGACAGAAAGAAAGAGGGAAAGAAAGAAAGAAAGAAAGAAAAAGAAAAAGAAAGAAAGGGCCTCTGTCCCTTTGGACTCCTTTATTTTACAATTATTCCTTTCCAAAAATTTGTTTTTCTAAATGTCACTAACTTTTTATAGCAAAAAGATCAATTAAGTTAGAGAACGTCCTGCATTCTGCATTTATTGTTTCCTTCATGGTGTTATGAAACACGTTCTGCTATTCCCTGTAGTAACCAAAAGTTCAGCCTATGGGTTAGTCAGGTTCAGGAGAACAATTTCAGTGCAAGTGTTTTGGAAGGGATGCTGCAAAACCAACAACTTCATGCTACATCACAGAGCACAGAAAGTGGGGTGGTCTGACCGTGAGCAATGCCACTTTGATTAGTTAGGATAACGACAATCAAACCTCAACTTACTAGTCAATTTCACCTTTAAAAATTGTTTTTACCTTTAAAATTAGAAGCAAAAAATAAGTTGTTGGAATAATGTTGTGTTAACATGAAAATTAATCTTTATTTATCCTTCAACTGATTTCAGTACTATTAATGACTGCATAAACAATTATTTCACAGTGATTATAAAACTGGTGATTGCTATCATTTGTTTCATTAAAAAAGATTTTCTTGAAAGAAGACAAAGTGAGAAGAGCAAAGGGAAAGAGAAAGCAGAGTAAGGAGCGTTCTTATCTAAATTTTTTTTTTTTTTTGCAAATGAAAAAATAGATAAGCACAGAAGTTAAACAACTTGGCTAGAGTCACAAAGGCGTAGAATTAGGTTTGAATTTCCATTCACTGCCTTTTTATGAGTTGTGAGGATCATATATTCTTCTCCAGATGTCCAACTTATAATATGTGCTGGATTTAAAAAGAGAGTTGAGGAATGACTGTTTCTTCATTTCTGAAGAGAAAATAAAATTTGATTTGCACACAACTAAATAATCTAAAAGCATGCTATATAAATTTCCATTTAAACAAAAAGTACTTAAAAATTATAAACATTCATCTATTGCTACTTGAAAAGATCACGATAGGTAAGGAGTAGGAACAAACAATTCACAAATACAATTATCCCATAAATATGAAATGTACTTAGTTAAAATCACAACATGAAGCCAAACAAATCCCTACAAATCCACTTTTTAAAAGTATTCTTTGTTGTGGTGGTGGTATTTTTTGTTTAAATGGATAATTATCAAGTTTAACACAATCATAGCAAAACAACTATAATTATAGTTAAAAATTCAGAACTTCCTATATATTGCTAAAACAACAAGAGTTTACCAGCAAACAACAGGGTAGCCCATAATTTTATTTTCTTTTTATACTTTTTTAATATCTCCCAAATGCTCTATGATAAATGTTTGGGAAGGCAGTGTTTTACGTGTCAGAATAAAGGCAGTCCGCAGCAGCTCCTTACCCATGCCCTCTCTGAGGCAGGCACTCCAGGATGTCATAGCAGAGAGGGAGCTGGTCACTGCGCGTGCAGCTGTAGATGCACTCAAGTGCTGTGGCCATCAGCTGGTTCTGATCAGGGATAATTTTTTGCTGTAGCTAGAGAAAAGAAAACATGTTGCACTGAATGTCAGTAGATTAATAGTCTCTTCCTATCCAAGTACTGCTGTCAGTGGAATATTAAATACTGCAATTAATCAGCCACAGAAACAAATTTTGATTTTTCTTTAGCTTACAGACCTTGGGGTCTTTAATAATTCTAAATGAAGTCACACTTTAATTACAGAATCAGCTAGAAAAGATCATTTGTAACCCATAGCTTTGCATCTGCTGAAAACAGACTCTTCAATTTATGACCCACTCAAGATAAAATAGGAAAAGCACAATGATTTCAAAAGGCAATTCATTAAAAACACCATTTCTAACCCTAAAGCCAAATTGTGTATTTCAATTACAAAAATACATAAAATTCCTTAAGTAATATTCAGCAATGTTAGAATCTATTACTTTTTCAGTATGCAATATGTATCACTCATTTAACTACAAAAGGCTGACAGTCCATCCAAAATAAGCCCAAGTGGAACTCAGTATGATACAAACCACAGAAAGTACTCCTGTGTTCTGGTGCAAAGGTGGCTACTTCCAGGCACTTTTTATATCAAATACCGCCTTTCCCTTGCAAACCACAGATCCCCAACCTGGGGAGCATTTTCTCAGATACGAAAATAACCAACTGGTGCTTTGTTTTTCTCATCTGTAATCCCGAGATTTTAACAATGCTTCCCTCAGAGGGTGACTGTGAGGATTAAATTAATACATGTGGAATCCTTCTGTTTTTACCACAGAAACTAAATCAGAAGCCTGAAACTGTTTTCTTGCACCTCTTCTCAATAGCAAAATGAGTTTAAGATAATGTCTGTAATCATTATCTACTGGATTTCTGCATTTTAATAGAAACTCACAATACACATAAAACAGATACAAAAGTGAGAGAGGCTGGCAAAGACATTTTCTTAGGAGAATCACACTAGTGGATATAAATAAAAAATATTGAAGGTTACTATGGAAATAAAGAAGCCAAGTTAAGGATTTAGATATATGGCTTCAAGGTACTAAGAAAATAATAGCCTTAATTTGGCACTACCATTTGACAAAGAGGTAACCAGGGCTGCGAAGTGACTGGTGAGATAAGGACAAGACCCACAGCAAAATAAATTCAATTAAAAATCAACAAAGGATAACTTCTCCTTATTTTGTGCTGGGTTCCATTTCTAAGTGCTTTGTATTTATTAACTTGTAAATCTTCATAATGACCCTGCACAATTAACTCCAGCATTATTCCCATTTTACATGAAGGGGAAACTGAGGCACTGAGAGGTCAAGTGACTTGCTCAAGCTGCTGGAGGCAGTAAGTGGCAAAGCGAGCACCCACATCCAGCAGCATGGGTTGCACCGTCGCTGGAGAGCATCCAGGCAGGAGGCATGAGGACACGGAGCAAACATGGGAATGAACGCACATGTGGTGAGGAGGCACCAGGACACTCGAACCCCAAACACCAGTTTCAGTCACGTGAAACTGGGAAACCATCAAAGTAGAAGCCAAAGCCCTTGATGTTTTATTCCATCTCCCTGCTCCCTGGCTTCCCCTCTCCAAGACAGATATTAAAGGCCTACTTTCAAGTCCGATGTTCTAGAGTCTGCATTTGCTTGCGTATGCTCAAAGATTCCACTGAAAACCCTTCAGCAGTGCTTCCGTGTGCAAGGGAAGGAAGGGGTCACTTTCTTGCCTTCTGCTCCAGCTTGCTGATGCTGCACATCAGCCCCATGTCCCATGACCACTTACCCTACATAGTTTATGTCACCCAAAATAAATTGTGGTCATCACTAAGTACTTGAGGAAATTGGTCCCCAGATCCCTGTGGACACCAAATCTACAGATGCTCAAGTGCCTTGCATAAGATGGCATAATGTTTGCATATTACTGATACACATCCTCACATATACTTCATGTCCTCTGCATTATTTAAAATACCTAACACACTGTAAATGCTATCTAAGTAGTTGTTATACTGCATTGTTTAGGAATGATGACAAGAAAAGAGCCTGTAGATGTGCAGTATAAACACAGTTTTTCTTCCAAGTATTTTGACCCAGGGTTTGGTGAATTAACAGTTGGTTAAATCGAAGGAGGAGGAAACTACAGCTATGGAGGGATGACTGTAATTCTACTCATCTAAATACTATGGGAGTAACCATAAGTCCACACCTACCTAAAATGCCTTCTCAAGAACTTGCCATCCTCCCTAAATCAACCCAGTAATTCAGTTTTAACTCCATTTCACTTTGAGTTCAACTGGACTTTCCCAGATTTCTATGATCCTGTGCATATGGTCAACAGATTCTAATCAATAAATAAATCCTTTTCTATCCTCATGCATGGAGCCTGTTTCCCCTGTATTTTCATGGTACCGGCTTACGCTAGCATATGCCACTCAGCATATTTTTCTAATACAATCTATGGTGTACAGGATTCATGGTGCTTAGCCTTATAGCACACTTTTCACTCTCAGGTGCATGATGCCTAACTGTGTAGTCTACCACACACTGTCCCTCAGTCTGATCATTCCCATCTTAGTATCTTGAGGTCTCTATTAAACTATTATCTGCCCTTCCTGAACCATAAGAAGGTTCCCCCCCGCCCCCGGGGCTTTCTAGGAGTTTAGCTACATGGGTCTCCCACATCACGGACAGCTTGTTACTGTCCACACCAGACACTGAGAGAAATGCAAGAGAATCATAATTTAGAAAAATGAAGTGTTAAAATAGAGCATTACAGACATGCAGAAAAGAATGGCAATGATAAGACAATAAAGTACTAAAAGAAGGAGCAAAATGAACATACAAAATCAGCAGCTCTCATACACAGAAATAAAGAATAACAGGAGATTATTTCTAAGGGGGAAAGCTCCACTTATAACAGAAACTCTTACCATAAAACAGGAATAAATTTAACAAGCGAGGTGCCAAACCCATAAGAAAAATTTTAAATGCTCCTGAAAGACATTTAAAAAGACACATACAAATGTAATAATGACTCTTACGCTTAAATAAGGTGACTGAACATTACAAGTTCAACATAATCACAATAAAAATACAAGAAAGCCCATTTTAGCATCAGACAAGCTGATACCAAAGTTCAGAAAGAAAAGCAAACACCCAAGAATAGCTTCAAAACAATAACAAAAAAGTCAGGAAAAAAACACAAGGAAATACTGTCCTCATCTGACACTGAAAGATGCTCTAAAATCTTTGTAATTGAAATGGTTTTGTGCTAATGCATGGACAGACCGTCAGACCAACACAACAGCATGAACACTCGTAGCAGCTCAAATTCAGGGTGTAACAAAAGCAGCATCTTTGGTAGCTCGGGCAGAGAGGAGCCCTCTAAGAAACGGTGCCGGGACAACCGGGCAGCTGTCTTTGAGGGGTGCAGATCACCCAGGTTAGAGGCCCTAAGGATTCGTGTGATCAGACTGGGCCCCCTGGATACTGGGAAATCTGCAGCTGTTTGGTGTCACCCAAGTGCACCGCCACTTTGGGCAGGTGAAGCGTACCGTAACGGGTTCCGGAATTGAGGTGCAGACGTTTTGGGGGTCATTACTATCACAAGACAGGCTTTGTAATTCAGAATAAAAGACAGTAAGCCAAGTGACAAGTGCACTTCAGCCTTCAAAGACAGCGCTAGTGTCACCGCCCGTCCCCAGCATGCGAGCAGCAGCCTGACAGGCTCTAAACTCCATCTGCCAAACAGCCACCTTACGCTCCGCCTCGCCCTGACTGCTCCTGTGTTTGTGATCACTGACTGGACGCACGCTGTGCTTTCCTCCCCTTCGCTGTTCCTGTCCCACTATGTTCATGATTGGCAATGCAAGGCTGGTTTATTCTTTTTCTCATATATCAAGAAGCAAGGCTCAAACACATCCTGTCTTACCAAATTACACTAATGGTAAAAACAGCTCCAAATATTTAAATTCCAGATTCTACTTCGGAATAACATACTGAATTCTGGTGGTAACACTTTCTTATGGTTCAATTTAATACTAACAACTTTTCAATGCTAACATGGGATGCAAAATACGGCTGAAAGAAAAGAAGAGCATAATAACCATTTTCTTTTAGTTCAAAGGAAAATCACTGACAATGCCTATCATAAAAATTTATAAGTGAAACCTAATTCTATCAAGAAAAAAGTGCCGGGGCCGGGGATATAGCTCAGCGGCACAGTGCCTGCCTGGCAAGAGCAAGGTCGTGAGTTCGATTCCCAGTACCAAAAAAAAAAAGAAAGAAAAGAAAAAAGTGCCTAACGATTTGAGAAGCTGTGGTTTCTACTCACATCTGGCTTGGAATGCTGAAATATCTTCAGGGGCAGCCGTAGGTCTCCTGTAGCTAAGGTTACTAGATACTCTCTCAGCAGCTCACTGGCTGCGCCTGGGCAGTGCTTCTCACAGCGGTGCAGGAAGGGCACCATCCACTGGTAGGCGCTCGTCACGTAGTTGTCCTCAGAACACTGAAAGTGTAATTAACCAAAACAAACAGAATGACATTAAGTTGTGTATCTTATCACCTCAGACAACCCTGATGACAACCACTCAGGATAACTGGATACTGAAACACGCAGGGGCAGCTCCCCACACAGCTTGCTGCAGAGCTGTCACCTGGGGAGTGGGCAACCGCAGCAACACGGTGGCCCTGACTTCAGATGGGACCTGGGCCGTGGTCCCCAACAGCCTAGGCCTGACTCTGAAAGACACACATCACTGCCACTCCTCACACAAGGTCCCCAGAGCAGAGAACCCCACCCAGAGGAGACGTGGGGCAAGAGGAAGAGAGAGACCTTGGCCGATAGGAAGTATGGAAGAGAGTAAGGCGCAGGGACAGAAAGGGACAGAAGGAGACGCACAAGCAGAGATGCGGTCGCCTTTCCTTTCCCTCTTCTCTGTTTTGTTTTGCCCTGCGATGTCCATCTTTATGATCCCTGAAATTGCACAATCACCTCTCAGTCACCCAGAGACATGCTTGCACCTCTGCAGAGCAGCCATGTCCACAAGCAACGCAAGTCCACTGTGTGAGTTCCAGGGGCGGGAGTGAATGAGAGCAAAAGTCAAGTCGGGGCCCGCCCAGCAGAGAGATGTGGAGAAGCTGAGCTGGTGAGGAGAGATGCGGAGGACAGAGAACACGTGCGAGAGGCAGGAGCACGAGCAGGAGAAAAGGTCACAGACAAGGGGTACAAAAGCAGCCAGCACGCTCTAGTGTCCTTCACAACTTCTCCCTCTCATTCGATTTGGGAAGAAAAGTCAAGAAATAGCCCTTCATTTAAGCAAATTCTCGGGCTTGTAGGACATTTCACTTCTGGTTGGGGACATGTATTAGTTAAACGACATTAAGAACGCTTAAAAACAAAGTAAAAACGCACACTGCTCATGAGTAATCTCAGCTTCTCGATGTCTTCCATCCTCTGGAGCTCTTCCAGGGTCAGGGCTACATCACAGCCTGCTTCGTACACCAGCGTCTCCAGGGTAACCAGGTTGTCACACAGGAGCAGCAGCCCAGGGATCTGCCGCTCCATCCCAAGGCGAACCAGTGACAGTGCGCAGTCCACCTGGAATTGGAGGGACAGTGAGCACCGGGCCTCGTCTACTTTACACTCTAAAGGAAAAGCTTCTAGTGCGGAGCCTGATCCCACAGCCATCTTTTATAAAACTCCCTTACCAGTAACATATGTCTTTACTTACTACAAAACAGAAGAGTTCTTTATCAAATACATCAGCATCAACCTGTCTCAAAGGTAGAAATCAGAAAAAAATACTGAAGATACTGATACTAAGAAGAAGACAACCGTCTTAACTCTGTGAAGCATTATGTTCTACAGCACAGCTGTACACAGCTGTGTATTTATTTAACTGTCACATTATGTTAACAGGCAGAAGATAATAACTAGGTGTGAGAATACAAAATTATTCTTACTCTCATTAACCCCTCTGATTCTAAAAGGAAAGTTTTCCTGCTTGGTTCCTTCCTTTTCACTGCACCTCTCTTGTATAGGACCTCCAATAAATATCAGCTGATGAAGTACTCAGTACAGACACGAATGGCCCAATTCAAATACTTACACATCACCAGGTAAAAATAAAGAATGCTTTTCCTGCTAGACATGGGGGTCCATGCCTGTCATCCCAGCACTCTGGGAAGCTGAGACAGGAGGATCACAAATTTGAACCCAGCCTGGGCAACTTAGCAAGACCCTGTCTCAAAACGAAAATGAAAAATGAAAAGTGCTGGGGGTGAACCTCTGAGTAAAGGTTCTGAGTTTGATCTACAGTACCAGAAAACAAAGAAATTAAAAAAAAAAAAATTTAAAAAGGCTCTGCCTCCCTAACCAGTGTACAAGGCAGGTGAAACCTCGGGCACCCTCTGGGGCCTCGGTGGCTACCCGCCACACCCATAGTGTGTTGGCCCAGGCTGGGCTGAACCCAAGACATCTTCGGGAAGCCCAGTGAGTCTGGGTTCTGCCTCCCTGACCAGCGTGCAAGGCAGGCGAAACCTCGGGCACCCTCTGGGGCCTAGGAGGCTCCCCCTCATGCGCATAGTGTGTCTTCTGAGGCTGGGCTGAACGTGACACCTTTAGGAACCTGGTGAGCTACTCTGGGGCCTTCCCCACTACAGTGTGAGGCATGTGGATCCCTGGACAACTTCTGGGGCCTTGGTGGTCACTGCCAGAACAATTCACACCCCCCTGGTAGCTCAGCTGAAACCTGAACATAGTCAGCGGCCTCGGGGAGCTCACCCTCACCGCTCCCCTTCCAGTGTGGGAAGCAGGCTCTGTCCTTACAATATCTGAAGCCTTGGTGAACTCAACCTGCATACCCCCCTAACTCTTGTGGAAGTGAGGCAGAACCCCAGACAGACTCAGGAATGCCGGCAAGCCTCCCTCGCCCTTCCCACACACTCCTGGGAGCCAACTGATTG